TAATATGAAATAAAAAGTCTATTTTAGATTCAGATGCGAGATGCAGTATTCTTTGCACCTCCATGAGAATGTAGCTAATTCTATTAAATGAAGTACAAGTAGAATGCTAGAAATAAGATCGCAAAGGAAGACCTAACACGCATTCAAAAAAACGTGCATGGAATGGCAGAATTTATCGTATCAATGATGACAAAAGACTTGTTGTAAGACGCATAGCCGAGGTATAGATGCAAAAATTAATGTAGCTTACATATGATGTAGTGAGCTTTTCATGCTGAATCTTAATTGAAATAATTGTATTTAAAAGAATATAATTATATTTTATATTAAATTATACAGTAAAGTGATGTAGATATAAAAACATTATACAGCTAAAAGGTAATCCAGTGCCCACTAAAAGAACTCACACGAGTACAATCCAAACTCGTAGTTTATTCGCTGACGTACGCAAAACACAACACTTCTTTCCACAGGGAAGCATTTTTTTTTTTTTTTTTTAAATTTTCAATGTAAATTATGTATAAAGCTTAATTTAATATTATGATATTTTATAAGAAAAGAATCATCCTGTAGTTTGGGCGGTAATGGGTTAACACAATCTAATATGGATTTGCCATAAATTAACTACCTTTATATGACATGTCATCATCATATGGCAAACTGAAAACTGAAAATTTTCTACAATGAGAAGAAACGCATGTGAATATCATTATACAATCTAATCATGCATTTTGCCATAAATTAAACCTACCTTTTATAATGGACATGTACAATAATCATCCGGCAAACTCAAAATCTGAAAATTTTCTACAATGAGAAGAAAATGCAATGTTGTATATTCTGTTATACTTGTTTTATTATGAATACATATTTTAGAAATATATGAAGAATTGATTGGCTAGTTAATCATGGCAATGCATGTGAGTGCTCTCTGTTTAAGGGAAGGGATTGAGACTGCCTTTATTTGAGAGTCTTAAAAAGAAAGAGGATACTTGTTTATGCTTCACATGAAGAAAAATATCAAATTCATGTACATCATATTTACATAGAAAAACATGCATGATTCCCAGAAATTTAATTTTTTCAGCATACTGATAGTAAAATTACTTTTGTCAGAAGCTTTGAAAACAGTTACAGAACTGTTTGATAATTCTAAGCTTAGTTTATTTCCTTTTGAAAATATATTACTTAGGTATGCAAGTCATTGAAGCCATTTATTATTGTGAATTTTCAAGCTCATTTGAAATGGGTGGTCTTTGAAGCTTGCTTGTCGCAGATGCTAAATCAGAACTATTTGCTACAAATAGTTTTTTTCCTGTGCAAAGATCTATTCTTAATAATTTATCCATTTTTATATAATGACATTTTACAGTTCACAACTTTAAAAGACATATGAATTTAAAACAAAGTTCCACATTCAGTCTGGTTTGCATAACCCAATTTAGAGAAAGAGATCCATATAACTGACTTGACTATTCACTAAATGCTGAAAATACAGTCGCTGTATACGATATGCTGTGATAGAATAAGAAACAGAATGTTTAGATATGATGCATACAGTATCGAATAATATGGCATGTGTCGGCAGGACTACCTACAACTCGTTATATTCCTTTTAAATACATTTCAGATAGTAACATTCACACCAGAATTAGTCAAACTGATTTCTTTATAATCAATGCCAAATTTAAATTTTCATGAGCATTTATATTTTAAAACTTTGTCATTTTCCACCATCACTGATAATTTTTTTGTATACCCCAAATGCCATTACATACCCCCAGGGATATGCACACCACATGCTAAGAATTGCTGCTCTAGGCAAGATAACAACATGAAAAAACCAACAAAACTGAACAGAATCAAAACTAATTTACATTAATGTTTATTCATTTTGATTATGTAATATATACTTTTACAGGGTATGTACCCATTTCTGCTTGTGAAAACTAAGTACCCTTAATGACTTTTAAGAGCCATCAATGAAAAAATTAAGGACCTATCAAGCATACAGGAACTGAATAAACTAAAGCAATTATTTATACTCATCTTCCATTTTGTAATACCACTTTCATAATTTAAAAGACTAAAATAAATCTGTAAGTACGATGCATTATTATTAAACAGAATCTAATACTTAATTACAAAACAAAATCAAGAATAAAATTAACTTCGTAAATTTTTTCAAGTAATTAGCATTAAATTTAACAAATTTTTTTAAATGTCCATATTTTACACTTAATTGTTCCACATATTTTCAAGAAGATTAGTGGCTTTTTATTTAAATTTTATTAACGCTTAGCTTTATGTTGATTCTGTATTTTATGCCTCATTTCGTCACATACTGACATAGTCCGAAGGTTTATGAAAATTGATGTCAAGTGGCACATCCAAAATAAGGATTGAGGAAAGGTGATAACTCACCTTAACATGTACAGATAATTTCTAAGGGTGAGCAGTTAGCTACAAATAATTAAATTATGTAATTAGATACCTTTAGTCATAACAAATTTACATGGTTACATTTTTTAATTTTTATTTTTAAAAAGAATTCATTAAAAAAGCACTAAGAACATTTACTTTTAAGTTATAATTTATGATATTGATTCTAAAGTGATATTAGTATAATACATTAAAAGGTACAAACATATTTTGTAGCATTTTATAGTAAAACATAAATGTTTTGTAGCAAATTTTATGTGCATTTTTTTACTTGTTGAAAAATTTCTAGATATTTTAGGCAATTTACAACAGTTTCCTTCTTTTTAGCACCTTTTCTAAGTTCATTTGTTTCAATAAACAAATTAATGTTCCCACTAGTTTCTGCTTCATCTCCTAATTTGTTAATGCCTCAACGATGTACCTTTGAAGAGTAATTTTCTCTCTATATAAAATCAGTTTCTTCTTCAAAGAGTTTATCCTTTATTTCAGAATTTTCAGATTTAATTATAAAGATTTATGTCATTCTAAGGAAATAATTACACTTAGAATGCATAGAAGAAACTGCTAATTTTATTTCTTTAATAATATGAGTATTGAAAATAAATATGAAATGACATAAGATCAGGGATAGTGCTAGAGCCAGTCTGGTAGAAGTTTTAAAATTTAGAGAAGCATCAAGCAGCGAAGCTTACAGAAGGAAAAATTTTTGAATTTAGGGAAGGCATGTATGGTGTACTGAGACATCTTCCTTTCATATTGTTTGCTTCAGTGTTTGTGTCTAGCAGAAAGATGAGAAAATAAAGGGAAGATAAACATATTACAAGAAAGACTTCAGGGATAAAAAGGAGAAAATTCAAATAATTTTGTTTTCACTCTTTGTCATAAAATTCTCCAAAAGATAAGAAATTCATCACAATTTCCTATAAAACACATCTGAGTTAATACCACGAACACACTTCATTTCGTGTCACATTTTTCTGGAAATTCTTCCTCTAATCCTTTTAAACCTTCCAAGGTGTAAAGAGAAAAGTGTAAAGTGAATTTTAAGAGAAAACTTGTACATATTTAAATATTCTGAAACAATTATATAGGAAAAAACTCTCATCATGAAAATATATAAAAGAAGACAAATGAATAAATTTTTAAACAATTATAATAGCATTTTTGCTTTTTCTAAGAAGTGTTTTGAAAACTGTGCTTTATAGCATTCATTATCTTGTTTATTTTTCAGAATCAAATCTCGTTTATGCCTCAGTCGCCAAAATTGAAAGGAATGTCACTTTAAAATATGGCAGCTAAAAATAAAAATATTTTATTTTAATATTACATTTTAAAAATAATTTTAATATATTATTATTATGATGATGATAATCAGTGCTAATAAACTAAACTCAGTGGTGCAACAGCCCTAGTGTTCCAAGGCCTGCAGTACCCGAAATCTGCTTTCTTAACCCTGGGACGTGTGAGCATATGCCCTGAATACGTGGTCGGCTTGTCGCAGGACACCCAGTGCTTAGTCCCCACGCGAACTTGGTACTCATTTTATCGACCCACTCAAGGGATGAAAGGCTGAATCAACCTTGCCCAGCATGAGGATCGAGCCCCAGACCTGTGGTAGTGCCGTCTGATATGCTGGATCAATGTTACCAAGATTGTAAAAAAAATTATCAAAAGATTCACAAATCTCCGAATAAAAAATTTTGCATACAAACTGATCTTGAAATTATCAAAGTGTTGATAAGTCGCCAAATTTAGTACTGCATAATAAATGAACTCATATCCCAAAAAAGGCAAAATTGTCCTTGATGTAATATTTTCTTAATTCTGATTCACAAAAAAGAAATTATTTTGAGATGCTTAAATCGAGGAGGGCCCCCATCAAATACTTATTTGTCAATGCATGACTAAAAAATATTCTTCCAAAATGTTAACTCACACTCAAAATGGCAGTCATAAAAAAACATACAGAAATATCAGCTGAGTAAATTAAAAGATCTTTTGTTGATTTGGGCTGAAATTAAGAACTTTTAAGGACCAAAAATAATTTTTTAAGGGCCATATGAACCCTGTTTTACTATGCTTGCTTTGTTTAAATTTTATAAATAAATTTAATTAGTATAATAATATAAATTTATTTAAATTTTATAAATCTAAGATAATTATTAAGAAAGATTTCGACAAATGTTTAGATGAATTACAATATTTTATATGCACTTAATATTTGACTACAAATGTTTAGATGAATTATAATATTTATGCAATTTATATTTGATTAGCACAACTACATTATTAAGGCATTTTGCAGTGATTAAATAATTTTGTTAAATGAGAAACTGATTTACATGCCTGCAACCTTAACATAAATGTCACAAAAAATTCCTTTTGTGACAGGAAAATTCAAATTACATATCTAAACATCAACAAAAATACTGTCAGATCCACATATTTTCACTCGTAAAACAAAGAAAAAGCAAGAAATTGTTACCCAACTGTGTTCCAGCAATTGGAACAAAATTAGAACATACAAGAATATCAAATTTCACAAGAACGAAATTAAACTCTTACCAACTCCAGTTGCATCTTTTGCATCTTGTAATCGTTCCACAACTTTCTGTATAGCTTCACTCATAATTAGTCTGCCATGGTTAAGGATTTCTTCAACCAGTAAATCAGCTGGATCACCATATCTGCAAATGTTTACCAAAACAAATTAAATTGGTATTTTTTCATTGTATACTGTTATATGTATACAGTTTCACTACATATTATATGTTGATGATTTTAAAATCATTTTTCATTTTAAAGAAAGGTATATAAAAAGAACACTTAACAAAAACTCAGCTATGTATGTATAATAGACATATAATAAATTGTATTTATAAAATTTTATATCTGAAACAAACTTGCATATCCATATAATCATTTTCACTGAAACAAATTTACAAATCTGTATAATCATCTTCAAAGTAATTTCCTCAGCAGGTCATATATCCTTAGCAGAGACAGCTCTCAATTTTCATAATATTGCCAAAAGTCAACTAGTATGATTGCCTCCTGTTGAGCCATCAAAGCATATGAATATGAAGCATATGAAGTTTTGAGTTGAAGAAAAGAAAGAAATATATCAATATTCAGATCAGATTCAAAGTGGAGCTGTGAAAGTACTGGAATTCATCATATAATCAAATTTACATGATAATAAGAAGGAATGTGACAGATAGTAGAGTGTGGCAAGGAACATCATCAGGGAAAGCATTCATCTGTCCGCAATATTTGACCAGATGTAATAAATTATTTTCTATGATTATTCAAAAATTTTACAGAAGTAATATTGGATGTTTTCAATTTCAAACAGGTGCTTCTTTCCACTAGGCAGATTTTATCCTCGGCAAAATAAAAATACTGCCATTTGAGAGAAATAATTGCTACAGAATATATTCAGTAAAATAAATGTACACTGCTAAAAATAAAAAATAAAATAAATAAAATAAAATAAATAAAAATAAAAATAAAAAAAAGGGGGGGCATGCTAGAGCTACCGTTCTACTGGGCGATTGACAAAATTCAAACTGCGTTTTCATGTCTCGAAAGGCGATTAGATAGATACTAATTTATATATAGCCTATTCTAACTAGGATTTGACAGAAAAAAAATAATTAAATTTCAATAAAATTTTACGGCGAAATTAATATCTAAATTTTTCCCTAATGATGCGTAAAATATTTATTAATACTATGAAAAAGCTATTTTTTTAAATTATAGATATATATTCAAATTTTTAACTATTTTTTTTTTAATTTCTCTCTTTTTCCTTTTTTAAAATACTTGTAAGAGTAAATTTTTATCTTCGCTTTTATCGTCTGCTACTTTAACTTCGTTAAATCGAATTGTCTAACTGAGAAGTTTATTTGTTTGAATTTTATGAATTAATGACAGTAACTGCATAATTTATTTTAAAACAAGCTGTTGCTTATGAAGTGGTGAAGAGCGCTGATACTATCATCCATATTTTTAAAGCACAGTATATTTTTATATATTTAGAATAATCATTTTATAAAAGTAAATATGATATAACCATACACTCTCTAGAGACCGAATTAATGGAGTTTAATGGTTATGTAGAAATGATCTGCAGCTACTTAATCGCTGGATAAGTCAGCAGATTCTGTGGACAAGAAGATAATTATATAAACGACACCAACATCTGGATTCAATTAAACAACGGGGTACGTGTTTATTAAATGAATTTAAGAAGTTTTTAAAACATAAAAAATCAACTAATATCCCTAAAAGGATTTTTATGCGTAGCGTATTTTATTATATCCTTAAATCCAATTTAGAATGTAATGTCAGAACTGAATCTAATTATCAGTAAATAATAAGTGATTATTACGGTTAATAAATCCTCTTATAAAGTATTGCAAATATTAAAAAACTCCTGTCTGCGTGCAAATTTTTATGCAAATATTTCTAATTTTATATAATCAAGTTGCACCGGTAATTATTACACTAATTTCCGTCAGCCCTAGTTTAGTTTAGTTATGACGGGGACGTGGGCCCACCTTTACCATATTTAATTGGTTAGCGCCACGTCACCTTATCTAAAGCTGACTCATGTTATAGCCACACGGATCCCTATAGGGCAATTGATAGTGGAACAAACATAGATATTAAAAATGGTACTCTGGTGAAAACGTATTATGAACAAAACTTTATCAAGTACACATAAGATAAATTCAAACCCTAGCAGTAAGTTGCAAGTTACAAAAGTTACAATTCAATACATAAGAGAATATCATACATAAGATATATTATACTGTTGTGATTGATAAGGACGACATTGTCAACATGAATTTACTAATGCAAAATTAACATTTAAACTCAGTATACAAAAACCCAAGAACATACAAATGCTTATTTCATACATTGGCCAGCTTAAAAAATTTATAGTGGAGAAGTAAAAATACTAGATTCACATAAGTCTCTAATTTCTGAATGTCATTGTTAACTTTTATATTACAACTTACTACTAAAGACACAGTTTAATTAAAATTGGATATTAATACAGTTAAATGAATTTGCTCTTAGACTATAAACACATAAAAACATTAATTCTTTACAATTTCTAAAATGCAATATTCAAAAAATATTATATGCGAATATTAGAACAATGATCACTAAATATACAATGATTCAATCTATTACTTAATTAAGATAATACTATTCATATTATTAATCATATATCCAGTTGACATCAAAATAATATTTTTTTCATACAGTGCTTATTACTGAAATGATGTAATATTATAGCAAGCAATTCAAAATAATATGTACAGACAATTTAATTGCACTTGGAAAGACTATACAAAAAAATAATTCAATACAATGATTCCGTATGATTACTCATGAATAATTCAATATTATGTTCTATACGATTATTCAAATGATGATTCAATACAACAATTTCTATTGCGCTTATTAGAAACAAAATCTATATATTATTCAAAATTTAATATTATTGCTAAATTAATAAAAATACCATTTATTATAAACCTCCTACCCAATGACACAAACATTAAATACACCATTAATTAATCATTACAGAAGATATTACATGCTACTTGAAACAGTTAATTATAAATTATGTACTGCACAGTTTTACCTGCACACTGAATATTAGAAATAATGTAATGATGCAATACAGTGATATTATAATGCTTCTTTAGAACATGTACCAAAGCAATAATTATATGCAGTGACTGAAGTATAAAGATTACAACAAGTTTCATGATTTAAATATATATCAGATTTGTAGTATACTATATATGTTAATAACATTTAAATATATGTATAGTAATTCAGTACCTATTTAGGATTGAGGTACATTACGGTCAGCCCTAGTAGAAGTTACAAACTCATTATTTTAATTACGGGAAGACCATCTAATTAGAACCCGTACCGTACAGAAATTCAATTATTGGCCCGTAGCTCCCGATGGCAGCTACATGATTTTTAATGAGTTCGGGTTTACTAGTACTTCACTTGGAAATCAATCTTTAAAATAGGTTAGTTGTTATTGAAATAGAAGACATGGGAGCCTATTTGGTTAAATGCCTTTCATAGAGAACCTTAAAACTACGAAAAACCAACTATGGCAGCCTGGTTAGACTTGCAAAAAAATTAGAATTTAAAATCTTAAATGCTAGGCAAACTGGTGAGGCTCCAATGAATCTCCAATTTATATTTTACTTAAATATTTAAATATTGTTTTATTCTTAGAACAAAAAGAAGAATTTTGTTAACTTGTTAGTAACACCAAGCCTGCAAATGAATATTCAATTTTGCATAATTGTATTCCTTAATATTCTGGAATATGGCTAAAAAGGAATGTTCTTGAAAATTAAAGGTTTTAAATCCAGTGATATTGGGTTTGTTCTTACCACTCAGGACCAAAATGATTCTGAACTACCCGTAGATGCTTGTAATGGCTGAGAATTAAGCAGAGACTTTTAATTTACGTTTTCAATCAAAAAGTATTTCCAAAGTTTTGTATGCATTACATGCATAATTAATTATCAAACCAATCGGCGAACCCGTTGGCCGAAAATAAGTATGTGTCCTCACTGTTCTGCATGTTCTCCAATTGTCTCTTGGATTTTTTTCCTTTCCCAAAAAACTAACGTTGCCTCTCAAAGGAAGGTTTTTGACATTAAGAGACAATCCTTTTAGGATGAATGGATGGATATTAATTATCGGTAAGCCCACAAGGGCTACGCCTAAAGGAGGGAGCCTTCGTGGAGCACTTCTAAGGGAACTGACTAGTAATACATGCTACGCATGGAAAAATCATGAAAACGCCCATCAGCCGACGTCGCTGAATCGAACTCTTCGAATACCAGTGTTCACGTGTTTACCGCTCGGCCACTGGTGGACCATCTACTTTTAGATGCATGTCAAAAACAGATCTCTTCAAGCTTTCTCTTCCATTACATGTTATGCATTCAGACAAAAAGTTGCATCAGCATAAATTCTATAATCTATTTTTATTACACTCTGATTACTTTATTAACATACAGTGAATATATACTAAACCTTTTACTTCAGCTTCAGTAATTCGGAATTTTTGACGGAATTGTTGTCGAAACTAGAACTTAGAAAATAAGTCAAATTGAATATTTCGATAATCCAGTAAATTCAAGGTAGAAGTTTCAATATTTTATTTTTGGAGGGAGGGAAAATTTTTTCAGTTTTGGTCCATTATCCTATGTATATTTGCTTCGATTCTTTATTTTCCCCATAAAAGCGAACGCATGGTATACATATAACGCATAGCTTCAAAGTAAAATTTAATAAATACAGGGTGGTTATAATTAAAGTTCCACATTGAAACGGTCATAAAAGGAAAACTACTGGATCAAATATTATCAAATTTGGTAATCGTGTAGAGGAGGTTATGGGAATTTATTTTCCCACGAAAGTTCAAAACCTCACCACCAGGGGGAAATGGCGCTGTATGCAAAATTGTTAAACGAAATATGGGTCGGACTCTAACTTAACCTTTTGTTACACAGGTTTAATATGTTGTATTCCCTTAAGAAACTTTAAAATAAGCAAATTACCATTTAAAGGCGTTAAATTCGATAAAAGTTGAGTGCGCCGTCTGTGTAAGGGAGAAGTTGGTCTGTGA